AAATGTTGGGGCCCAATAACTGCTGGCCTGCTTAAAGACAATCAGCAAGGCCAGCAGGCAGCAATAGAGTTATAAATACATATATAAAAATATATTATATTAAATTTGTAAACTCTGTAATGTATTAGTGGTATAAAGTTTTGTGAATGGTACTAATTAGCCACAAGTGTTTGGACTAATACAGTATGTGCATGTGTATCCTCACACCTTGTGACTTCCATTCAGTAAACAAGCTCATTCTTGAGTGGAATGCATTGGCAGATGGAGGTTCGGGTAGACTGTGTTTGCGCTAGATGGATTATTAAATGTCTAATGATGGCTCCTATTTTGAAGTGCAGCGTCTTTCCCTTGATTGATTAGCTTGAAGCATGCGGAGGACTGTTGGAACAGCCAACCCTCAAAATTAGGAATGTGTGGGCAGGGAGATCTGCAGTGCACTGGATTATTTCATATTACCCTGGCCATGTGATGTCATCTCCTCCTTCCAACCATTCCACTCTAGTATCATCTAGGAAGCCGAGGTACCACCTGCCTGTCTGTGCAGAGTAAATCACAAGACTTACAAAACCATGGCAGATAAAAAAAAAAAAGGAACAAATTGCTAAATACGCATTTCAACTGTGTATTTAGTAATTTTCTTGGAGGTCAACTTCAAACCTTGGAAAATAGGGAATTCAAATGAACTTTTCGATTTCAGCTAAAACAAATCCTAGAAATTGCTCCATATTTTCAGTAAGATGTGACTAATTCAAAGTCACCATGAAGTGAACCCACTCTATTGCTGCAATGTTCATTTTACTCTCAAGTTGTGAAAGAAATGAGAAATAAAATACTACGTACAGGAAAAAAGCTAATAAAAACATTCAATATCTGGAGTTTACTAAGCACTAAAAATAATATTTTCTTTGATGAAACTTTGTATCCCGTTATTGTTGGAAATGGTGAATATTATGTCACAGCAAGCTGCTGGAAGTTCCGTATCCTTTTCATAGAATAAAAATAAGTACAATTCCAGTCATTTCTAGTCTTTTTCCCTGAGGGGAGTATAAAATGAAAATAAATCTGTAAGACAACATTAGCAAGTACCACCAGGCACCGTCTATATGAAGAATGTGAAATGTATCAAGTCCAGAATATTTTGCATTGTATAGTATGTTAGTATGTGAAACCTCAGACCAGATAACCAGGAGAGCACAAGAAGCGATTACACAATTGGCAACAAGCGCTGAAAATATTCCTTTAACCTCTTCTTATCCCCTCCTGACAGTCCTTTAACTGGGTGCTTACACTGGAAGGCAGAACAGAGCTCCCAATCACATGATCACTGTGATTGGCTGTCACAAGTCACATGATTAGTAGCTTGTCCTGCCACCAGGAGCTGACAGCTTTCATTGCGGTCACGGTCATTGTGCTGGAAGCATGCAGTGAGCGCACTCTCAGCACAGAAACCTTGCCCACCATGGATGCCTGTGTGCTCCTTTCTGCTGCAAGCAGTTAAAAGACAAACTGTATCAGTACTTTAAGGCCCCCTCCAACCCTCTAGGTGCAGTTTGATGCTTACAGTATTCTCTGTCCCTGTTACAGAGATCTTCACTGCACTACCCTGTTCAGTCTTTCTCAAAGCGTCTCTAACTGAGAAATACCATGCAGTCAGGCCCGGACTACACAACACAGTCATCCAGAGCAGTGTGATTACTGCACAGCACAGTCATCCAGAGCAGTGTGATTACTGCACAGCACGGTCATCCAGAGCAATGTGATTACAGTGAAACACACAGACACCGCTCTCTAGTAAAACACTCCGTGCACACAGTTAACCCTTTGACCTCCCCTCATGTTAACCCCTTTCTGCTCAGTGCCATTAGTACAGTGTCAGTGCTTTTTTTTTTTTTTTAGCACTGATCACTGTATTGGTGTCACTGGGGATGTCAGTGACACCAAGTCAGTTCCCTCCAGTGTCGGAATGCCAGTCGCAGTCCCACTATAAGTCGCTGATCGCCGCCATTATTAGTAAAAATAAAAAGTATATCCCAGTATATATACCGCCATTTGTAATGCTATACATTTCACGTAAACCAATTAATTTACATGTATTGGGATTTTTTTTAGCAAAGACATGGAGCAGAATACATTCTGGCCTAAATTTATGCCGAAATTTGATTTTTTAAATTTTTTTAATGGACATGTTTAATAGCAAAAAGTCAAAAATATTGTTTTTTCTCAAAATTGTCAGTCTCTTTTTTTTTTGTTATAGTGCAAAAAATAAAAACCGCACAGGCGATCAAAAAGGACGTAAAGTTCATTTGGATGCAGCGTTGCATGACTGCACAATTGTCAGTTAAAGTAACGCAGCACCGTAACGCAAAAAATGGCCTGGTCAGAAAGGAGGGGGGGGGGGGGGGGGGGCAAGCGGTTAAGCTTGCTAAATCTATATTTAAATCTGATCTGCAAGCGCGAATTGCGGCCATCAACCTTACTACTTGAGCTTTACTACAATGTGAGTGTTTTACATTGCTTCCAAATAATACTGTAAATCACTTAGGGGTGCTTTTTTTCCTCCTTGTTTCACACAGAGCTTGCTACAGCTAGAAAAGCTTGCCCAGTGTATGTGGACTCATTTATGACATTGGACTTTTTATTGTTCATTTATTGTTCATCTTGTGCCCCTTGCTAATAGGATTTGGGGATCTGTATGCGCTGATTTCCTCTGCTTTTAGTGGTTTTGTGTTATTGTTAGTGGCTACATAACAGACTGCAAGAGATAGGCAGCAATGAGTTTCAACAAATGATAGAAGGTAAAAAACAAGTATTTTATAAATGGCAACTGTTTCAATTATTCCTGAAAAATATAGTTTCTGGACTGAATTAGCATTGTGGATGCTGTGCATGCTTACAGTGATATTAAATGTTTTTGGGTTTTTTTTTTTTTCAATAACAAACATGTTATACTTACCTGCTCTATGTAATGGTTTTGCACAGAGCGGCCCCAATCCTGCTCTTCTTGGGTCCCCACGTTGGTGCTCCTGGTTCCTCCCCCCTGCTTATTGCACCCCAGAAGATAAAGCCAAAAAATAACCAAATATCAGGAGCGCCGACGGGGGACCCAAGAAGAGGAAAACCGGGGCTGCTCTGTGCAAAACCATTGCACAGAGCAGGTAAGGCTCGGTTCACAGTGCCGCGACTTGGGATCTGACTTGTGAGACCCCAAGTTGCATGACATGTGAAATCCCCTGTTAGTCAATGACAGCTGTCTTAACCACTTCCAGACCGGACACTTTTACCCCCTTCCTGTCCAGGGCAATTTTCAGCTTTTAGTGCTATCACACTTTGAATGACAATTGCGCGGTCATGCAACACTGTACCCAAATGAATTTTTTACCATTTTTTTGAGATAGATAAAGCTTTATTTTGGTGGTATTTATTCACCACTGGGATTTGTATTTTTTTTGCTATGTAAATGAAATGTCCAAAAATTTTGAAAAAAAGTGTTTTTTTTTTATAAAATTTTGCAAATAAATAATATTTCATCATAAATCTTAGCCAAAATTTATTCCGTTATCTTTTTAGTAAAAAAAAAAAAAATCCAAATTAGTTTATAAGCAAAAATTATAATTTTTAAACATTTTTTTTTACATTTTTATTTTATTTTTTTAATTATTATTTTTTTATTTTTTTTTTTTTACATACTGTCACCCTAGCAGTACAGTGTCACCATGGTGACACTGTACTACTTGTGAGGGGTGATGAAGATTTTTTTTTTTTTTTTTTTTTTTACACTGATTGCTTTTACACCCATATAGGATGTAAAAGCAATCATTTCTCTTTCTCTCTGTGTGCATTCTTGCACTCATTGAGAAGAACTGAGTGAGCTGTGATTGGTCACAGCTTGTCACATGGTACAAGGCTTTTGTGAATAGCCTTGTACCATGTGACCTCTGTGATCATTCACAGATTTCACACGTAGTAAGCAATGATGTCAGAAGTGACATCTTGCTTACTACTTTGCATGTGATCACTGATTGGCCAATCAGTGATCACATGATCGGGACCTCGTACAGAGGTCCCGTCCGACGATCGGTGTTTCACTGTGTCCGGAGGACACAGCGGGCACCGGATCGCGGTGCTGCGCGCTCCCAGGGAGCGCGCACAAGCAGGGTGCGGGGAGGCCGTTTATAGACGGCCACCCGACCCTGCAGTGCCACCGTCCGGCCGTTTATATACAACGGCCGGTCGGGAAGTGGTTAATTAGCACTACTGAAGTCGCTCTGACTTTAGAAAATGTTCCTGTACTACTTCAAGGCGACTTCTCTCCGACTTGTGCCCATAGACTTTAATGGAAGTCGCCTCCAAGTCGGATCCTCATCTATATTGATGTGATTTGGATCCGACATTACAGAAAGATTACCCAGGCATTCCCTGTAAGTTGCTTCAAAGTCGCTTCAAAGTAGTACTCAAGTTGCCTGGCAAAGTAACACTGCAAGTCGCAGTAGTGTGAATCAAGAAAGTGACATGTTTGTTTTTTTTTAATAAAATTTATACCGTTACAACCACTTTGTATCCGAGCACAAATCCTTTCATTTCAATATATTCTTCAATAGCCAAAAAGGGATCAGTTTTGTGTGCACTGAATAACTTTGTAAACTCAGATATGTTTGATAAAACTGTAAAGTGCTGTACACAGCTTGTGCAGCAAGTGGAGCTGTGAGAGGAGGCCAGGAGTCACCAGCCACTACAGAAAACTACAGGAAGGGGCGGAGACAAGACCAGTCACCCTGCAGAAGAGGAGAGAGCAGCAGTGACCGGTCTTTATTACAGGAAGTTCCTGGATGGTAAAGCCTCACACTGGATTACTGCACAGATCATGAAGAAATGCACAAAGCACGCCAAGATTCAAAAAAGGACACACATGACCAATGTATTTACACAATATCTGCTTATCCCGGAGTTCAGCTTTAAACACAAACAGGACAAAGATAGAGACTTAGTAACGTCTGACTTACCGATAAAACCTGCTTACAGACACCTCATTGGTGAAGCCCATTCCCCCCCAGAACTGTAGGCAGCTGTCACTTAGCTCTCTTGCTAGGCGTCCAGCCTTTAGCTTGGCCATAGATGCAAATTTGGTGACGTCATTCCCGTCGATATACAATGCTGAGGACAAACAAATAACAGGTCAGATGAGAAAAGTCATCACAAATCACACAACCCATTCGCCTCATGCACGTTTTTTGAGCTACAGGAGTTTTCAGAATCAAAAACATGTGAAAAAGCCGTGTTTTTGCATGCACGTTAATGCACATTTCCCCATCTGTTATTAACCACTTGCCCTTTAGAGGATTTACCCCCCTTCCTGACCAGGCCATTTTTTTGTGATATGACGTTGCTGACAATTCGTAGTCATGCAACGCTTTACATAAATGAAATTTATGTCATTTTGTTTCCACAAATAGAGCTTTTTTTGGTGGTATTTGATCACCTCTGCATTTTATATTTTTTGTACTATAAACAAAAAAAACTGACAATTTTGAAAAAAAAACGATATTTTTGACTTTTTGCTATAAAAGATATACAGTAAAAAAATTTAAAAAATTTAATTTTGTCATAAATTTTGGCCAACATGTATTCTGCTACATGTCTTTGCTACAAAAAAAATCCCAATATGTGTAAATTAATTATTTGGAATTATAATAAGTGCTACAAAATCCAACAGTGTGCAGCTGACAGTCCAACCCCCCCCAGGTATAAAAGTCTTGTATACAAAACTGCGCACAACTATCCTTCACAGATCTTCATATATTCTCACCAGAATCTCCTTAGTAAAAAAGCTTTATATATCATATGATCTCACTCTCTCCTTTGATCTTCTAATCGACTGCTTCCAATCTCCAAAACAAAAAATAAAGTGTAGTCAGAGGCGTCCCTAGGGTTGGTGTCACCCGGTATGGTAACACTTGGTGACACCCCCTCCGACGATCCCCGCAGAATGGATCGGATCTGCGGATTGAGCATAATGGATCAGACTCCGATCCATTATGCTCAATCCGCAGATCTGATGCATCCTGCGGGGATCGTCGGCTTTCTTTACAACTTACCTTTTCTTGGAGCGGGTCCGGTGTCACCCCGTATAGGTTGTATGCCGACAATACCCGCAGGATCGACGGCATGCAATCTATACAGGGTGACACCGGACCCGCTCCAAGAAAAGGTAAGTTGTAAAGAAAGCCGACGATCCCCGCAGGATGGATCGGATCCATCCTGCGGGGATCGTCGGCTTGGTTTTCAACTTACCTTTTTGCTTTACAACTTACCTTTTTGTCACCCCGTGCAGTCGGTGTCACCCGGTGCAGACCGCACCCCCCGCACCTGCCTCGGGACGCCTCTGAGTGCAGTAATTCTTACATAAAGTGTACTACATAATGCACCCGTGCAAAGTTATAAAGACTATGAAAACAGTGGCCACCACTAGTCCCACTAAATGCTCTTACCCTCATAGGGTGAAAATGTGCATTCACTCTCCTTTGCTATAAGTAACATCCAGCTCTGAATGTGACCATACTCCATCCACCACCAGTGTGCCAAATAAATCCACGTGCTTGATCCCTTCATCTGCAGGAATGCAGCTTAGCCTGCATATCTTGTTGATTGCTTTTCAATACTCAATGTGCTCTCAAATCCGTTTTCTCCTCCTCCCCGACTCTTCATATACTCTCAGTGACCATAAGAAAGTAAAAATATACACCCATAGTGCAGCCAAAAATCGTTCGAAAAACGACCCATATATGGCCGGCCTTGGTAATAGTAAATAGTAAGGCTATTTAAAGGTGAACTCTCGGGGAAATTAAAAATAACCCTTGCAATGGGGCTTCCATTGCATTGTTTTTGTGCAGGTACCAAAAAAAAGCAGCTTCACCTATCTTATCCCTCACACCCCATGCATCCAGCATTCTCCTCTTCCCAGCGTTGCGGGTTGTGGGCGGGCCCTTGGTATCCTCACTTACCAATATTATTATTTATTATTATTATACAGGATTTATAGAGCGCCATCAGCTTACATAGCGCTTTATAACATAAGGCAGACAGTACAATTACAATACAAATGAATACAGGAGGGATCAGGAGGCTTGCTCGTTCAGAGCTTACAATCTAAGAGGGAGGGTCTATCAATACAAAAGGTAATAACTGTGGGGGATGGGCTGATGAAGAAAATACATGTACAGTTGCTAAGTGGGGGCAGGATAGGCCTCTCTGAAGAGATGCGTTTTTAGGGATCGTTTAAAAGTGGATAGAGTAGGAGATAGTCGGACACATTGGGAAGGGAGTTCCAGAGGACGGGAGCAGCTCTGGAGAAGTCCTGGAAGTGAGCATGTGAGGAGGTGACAAGGGAGCTAAAGTGCAGGAGGTCTTGGGAGCAACAAAGAGAGCGATTTGGTTGATATTTTGAGACCAGGTTAGCGATGTAACTGGAAGCTGAGTTGTGGATGACTTTATAAGCTATTGTTAGTATCTTGAATTTAAATCATCTGCTGAGTGGAAACCAATGGAGGGATCGGCAGAGAGGGGCAGCAGAGACTGAATGGCTGGTAAGGTGGATGACTATGGCAGCAGCATTCATGATGGATTAGAGGGGGGGATAACCTATGTAAAGGTAAGCCAGTGAGGAGGGAGTTGCAGTAGTCAAGGCAGATGACCAGCGAGTGAGTTAGAAGCTTTGTGATATCATTGGGTAGGAAGGGGTTTATCTCGGAGATGTTACGGAAGTTGAGGCGGCAAGCTCTGGACAGTGATTGGATATGGGGCCGAAAGGATAGTTCCGAATTCTGGATTACACCTAGCACCCTGGCATGCGGGGACGGGTTGATGGTTGAGCCATTGATTTTGACAGAGAAGTCAGGGAAAGGGGCACAGAGGGGAGGAAGTATTATGAGTTTGGTTTTGGATAGATTGATTTTCAGGAAGTGATGTGACATCCAGGCTGATATGTCAATGCATGTGGGTTGGTGCAGAATGGTGTGGCGGCAGTAAAGACACAGAGTTGAGTTGCAGATAAACTAGAACTTGTACTGCAGAAAATGCCAACTACAAACAACCCCAGCGAGAGAAAGCGTAAAACTCACAGTTCAGTTATTGGCAGAGATGCATCGACAGCATCTGTCTTCAGAGGGCGGAATGTGGCCTGGCCGGTCTGGTCCCAAACGGGAGGCTACAGTATAGAATTGTGAATCCATAACCTCACTTCCCCTGACAGGTGAATGCTCTTTTCCTATTCTAACCATTTTTCAAAATGTGCGCCAAAACCTAGGGGCAGGGACATATAAAGACACTGCTGACCTAAAGATGGCTGTCAGAGGTCACTTGGATGCAGCGTAGCCAACCGCAATGCTATCTCTAGGAACCCAGAAACCATAGAGAAACCGAGTATCTCCTGACTTCCTCTCCAGGCTGTGATACTGCTCTGGTAGGGCACCACCTACAGTGGAGAAAGCAGACTGCACTTGCCTACATTCAGGACTGCCAGACCTGCACTGTATGTGATGATCTCAGTTTCTGACCTATGGAACTCCTAAGAGAAGCGTCCTTAGGGGATGGGTTGCTCGGGGAGGAGGACGCCAGTAGTAGCGAGGTATAAAGCAAGTTAAACATCATTTTAAGGTACCCAAGACAAAAATGAGCATTTAACACTTGTATGGGGAGCCCCACTGCAATGATAGTTTTGAGTTTCACTTTAAGGTTGGTTTAAAAAGGTTTTAGACCAATCAAGGTTCTAAAGCAGTCCCGGGTGCAACTGGGCAACCAACATAGTGCAGAAGATCCACAAGAACTGATCAGGTGGAGGTGCAAAGGGCTGGAGTTGTATAAAATCTGAAGGTAACTCTTTTGACACAAACTCACCAACTGTGCGGTGCAGCAGAGACCGGAGAAGCTCCACCTCGGTGCTCAGCTCAGCCAACTTGTAGTGGACAATCTGGTTGTTGAGCAGAGGCTGGTTGAAGATTTTCCTCTGCCTGGTGTAGTCAATCGTTTCTTGGATGATGCTTTCCATGGGTGTGAGAACTGATAATATACAGAAAACATGAATTGTTATAAATTAAATAAAAATTGACTTTCCACATGCAAAAAAAAAATAATAAAAAAAATGATGCTGCTTTATCATTACAGGGTCAGTCCACTAGAAATAGATTATTTAATTTCTAGAAAATGCTGTTCTGAGTTTCTGGGTCTGCACCCCTGCTGTGTCCATTATGAGGGGCACTCACCATCCCTATGCTGAGTTCCTGGGTCTGCACACCTTCTGCAACTAGTAGAAGGGGCTCCCATCAACCCTGCTGGATTTTTTAATGTATTGTCATGTAGTACTACCTCTGTAGGGGCTGCTGATATTAACTGGTTCTTCCTCAAAAGTACAGTGGCTGCTTGTCCCCACAAGCAACAGTCTATTTGCTCTGGCTCGAATAAACTGTCTAGGGCACATGTGTCAAACACAAGGCCTGCGGGCTGAATCCGGCCCGTCTGGCAATTTCATGTGCCCCTTGCACTTCTCTTACAGCTGCGGCACCCCTCTCATCTCTGCCCCCATCTTGTCTCAGTCAGGAGCAGAGAGGAGAACAGAACTCCTCCGCCAGATCCTGCACTTCTTCATGCAGCTGTGGAGAGGCTCTTCTCTGTCTAACCCCCCCACCCATCCATCTTAGCAGTAGAGAGGAAAACATAATTCCTCCTACAGATCCTGCGCCTCTCTGTGCAGCCACAGCACCACCTCATCTCTGTTTCCTCTGGTCTCTGCATTCAGCAGACTCTGGCAGCCCTCCTCTGGTCCCCCTCCAGAACCTGCATTTTCTGCTTCCTAGCTCTGCCCCCCCTTCTTCCTGGCAGCAGCACAAGGTAAGGGAGGGTAGGGGGCTCTTGACACCTGATGTAAGGGGGGGGGGGGTGCTCTGGACATTGGTTTATATTTATTATGAAAAGAATACAATACTATGCCAGTTGGAAAGGAGGGTCGCACAACGGTCTTATCATCCACAAGAAACTTTATTGGAGACTCCTCACACAGTACACCATGGCAGAATCATCTGTCTCAGCAGTCTCCAGTAAAGCTTCTTATGGATGATACCAGCGGCGTGTGACCCTTTTCAGACTTGCATCATCTGCTACGGGAGTGTGAGTGGGCTCCTTGCTGGTCTGCAATTGCCCTTCACAGCTTAAGTCTTAAGTTATTACTAAAACCAGCAATAATTGAATGCAGAGCCAATCGTTTAATATGATAAAGAGAGCATACTTTTATATAGTCCTACAGATACAACCAGCACTTCGAGGACAACCATAATGATGATGTAGCCCGCGGAGAATTTGAGCTCGACACCCCTGGTCTAGGGGATGTCTTTTTAAGGTTTATTGCTTGAAGAACAGGGGGGGAACTTTGCCATGGGATACTCATTAGGATACTCCAAAACACTTTACACCTAGTAGTTGGAGGACAATCTTCTCAAATTAACTGAATGTTGGCCAGTCTAAGGCCTCACAGTTGAAGACTGTGCGGCATGTCTTTTTGGCATCTGATTACCTTGTGCCAATGCACACCCAGTGTAGCCGCAAATACACTACCTAGTCACAGGGATCAGTCTAAGGTCACTACTCACAAGTCCGCAGGATAGCTGCCACCTTCCAGCTTCTTTCAGACATGGTCCAGTGAGTGAGACAGCGCTTCTCAGGACATGATTCCTTGTAATTTCAGGCCCTCAGTTCTGGCACTGCTGATGCCTCTAGAGCAGATGTAGTCCATGGGCTTCCTAACAGCAGCAGCGCCTCTGTTTCTGGAACCCCCCTGGGGAGAAGGAACCCCAATCTCCAGTGTCTCAGACTATTTATCTCCATTCCAGCCCCCTACTGGACACTACTCTCCAGGGATTGGCTGGAACCTGATAAATATTCAGGCTGGCTGTTTTGAGTCTCCTGCTCTAAGCCTTCTTTCAGAGGTAGGGGAAAGCAATCAACTCTCAGCCTGTAAGACCCCGAACAAGCCAAAACAAACAATCTCTGCTCCCTTGATTACCAAGAACTAAATTTACCTAACATCCTATGAGATGAGGGTGCAACATACATCATGTAGACTGTAACAGGAGGAGCTAGGACACACAAATCTGGGTGAGGACACCTCCAACTCCTAGGTGTCCAGGAACAGGGATGGGAATTAAAGGATAAGTTTACTTTTTAACCAAAAATAATAAATGCACGTTTTTCTTTTGTAGGTAAAAAAATGTGCATTTATTATTTTTGGTTGCAGGAGTCTGCAAAGCATTGCACCAGCAGATCACTGGTGCAATGCAGATCTTCTGCAGATCTGTCAGTATATCTGCTTGCCCGTACGGGATGTACGGACAAGCAGATATACTGACAGGAAGATTCAATGAACTACCACTCCACAGCGCCATGGTAGTTCATTGAGAAATACAAGCTGACAGCTGCTAAGGCTGTTGGGACTTGTAGTTCATTCATTCACAGAACACTATGAATGAATGACGCGGCCGTGTGACAGCTAGTACAATCTACTCCCCATGCTTCTGTCACCCTTCTGTCTGGAGGGCAGACAGTGGGAAAGGGTTGCAGAATCTGGATTATGTAACATGTTCCCAATGGAGAACGTATCTTTTAAAGCAGAGAATATTGTATGTGCTAGTCTGGTGTCAGTTTAGGTAACTGTTAGTGGGCCATTTCAAATGTTTGTAATACTGCAAAATACATTATTTTCCATTGTCTGGAGGAAAAGGAAAAGATTATGGAAGTCTGTAGTTTGTAAAAATAAAAATGACTTTTAGCACAGATTGTCCCGGAAGATAATGGTGGACTGACTTTCATCACTGTCTCTGCTTGTATCAATAAACATGTCAGGAAAATGAGCCATTCATTTATCTGAATGTGTGGATGTTTTTCTGACACACAACCAAAACATTTGCAGAGAGTCTTACAATACGATGGTAATATACTGCGTATCTGATGAGGGGGCACAATACTTGGTGCAAATATTATCGAATTTCTCCTGACTTCCTCTCCAGGCTGTAATACCACTCTGGTTAGGCGCCACCTACAGTGGAGAAAGCAGACTGCATCTGCCTACATGCAGGACTGCTGGACCCGCTTTTTATGTGATGATCTCTGTGTCTGACCTATGAAAAGGGGCCTGGCGTGGTGTTGGACAGTGCCATCATCCCTAACTTTACTGAAAATTGAAGCAAACCCTCTAAACTTTTAAAAGCACAAATTGTATACATATGTATATAAAGCCAATAGAAATCTTTATTATACAAAACCAATAAAATCACATGTTGAGTGGTCAGCAGTTGTAAATTATACAAATAGCACCATTTCTCATTCAAACTTTACAAAAGTAGCTTGCCCTTCCACTTTTGTAAAGTTTTAAAAGTCCCATTTTTAGAGGGTTTGCTGCAATTTTCAGCGTCGGTCCTATGGAGCACCGAAGAGAAGTGGCCTGAGGAGGATGGATTGCTCAGGGAGGAGTAAGCCAGTAGCAGCAAGGGATCAAGTAAGTAAAACAGCATTCTAAGGTACCCAAGACAAAAAAGGGCCATTAACCCTTGCAGTATGGGGAGCCCCACTGTAAGGGTAGTTTTGAATTCTCCCCAGAGTTTAGCTTAAAGGTTGGTTTTATTTATTTATTTCAGGTACTAATATAGTGCTGTCAATTTACATAGTGCTTTACATATATATTGTACATTCACATCAGTCCCTAACCCTCAAGGGCCGTACAATCTAAGGTCCCTAACTCACATTCATACATACACATACTAGGGCCAATTTAGACAGGATCCAAATCACCTACCAGCATGTCTTTGGAGTGTGGGAGGAAACCGGAGTGAGAAACCGGAGTGTGGGAGGAAACCCATGCAGGCCCAGGGAGAACATGCAAACTCCAGGCAGGTGGTGCCGTGGTTGGGATTCGAACCAACGACCCTAGTACTGCCAGGTGGAAGTGCTAACCATTTAGCCACTGTGCTGCCCACAGTTTTAAAAAGTTTTAGACCATTCAGGGTTCTAAAGCGGCCCTGGGTGCAATTGGGCGACTAACAGTGTAGAAGACTCACAAGAACTGATCAGAGGGAGGTGCTGTGGGATGGAATTGTATACATTCTAAAGGTAACTCACCAACTGGGTGGTGCAGCAGAGATTGGAGAAGCTCCACCTCGGTGCTCAGCTCAGCCATTTAATTAGGCACATCTATCTATAGTGGTGCATATAGCCAGCAAGAATACTCATTGTCACTAGACAATGCTGGATTTCTAATAAAGTGCTAAAGACTTGCTACTAGCTACCAAACGCTAAAAATACAAGTGCTGAATTACTCACCTATGACCAGGATCAAGTCCCTCTGGTAACAAACAACCTGCTTCTTCCTCACCATTACCATCTTCCAGCAATTGTTGAAGGTCCCCCATCCCTCTATCACAATTATACAGATATACAGTACATTTTAAAAAACGCACATTTTATTATTTCAGAGATTTTTGTGCAGCACTTAAGTATTTCTAGCCTAGGAGAGGATGAGGTTCATGTCAACCTGCCCCCACCACGGATTCTTTGTGTGTGCAGATGTGCCACAGGACTTCGGGTCCAGCTGAGTCCTGCTGCCACATGGGTTTCCCCAGTACATTTGCAAACATGGCTATTATGGAAGACTTGAAACTTTGCAGTCTTTGTGCATGTGTAAAAAGCCAAAGGGCTCTGTCAGGACCCGAAGGCCAAGTAAAACCCTTTGGCATATTTGTGCACTCGCCATAATGGTAGTGTGTGGGTGGAGCTACTAAAAAGGGGACTGAAATTGCTCTTTAAGTTGTACCAACAAATCCTTCCAAATGTCATTATACTACTGTAGCACCCTCCTAGTTTGGCTAGGGGGAGCTAGATCCCAATGATTGATGTTTAGGGGGTTGATTTACTAAAACTGGAGAGTGCAAAATCTGGTGCAGCTCTGCACAGAAATCAATCAGCTTCTAACTTCAGTTTGTTCAATTAAGCTTTGGCATTAAAACGTGGAAGCCGAT